TGCTATCTCTGCCTCTAGAGAAAATGTAATAAATGTTGATGAAATTATATAAACATAGTTAGCCTTACAACCTTTTTTACAACCTCATGTTCCTCAATGAACTTTTGTGTAAAATCTAAGAAACTAACTTTTATTTCAATATCTTTTTTTAGAAAATGTCACTTCTAAATCAAAAATCTATCCTTGCACACATAACCATACATCTATTATGCATATTTCCTTATACAAACACCTAAATTATTCACATTGACGTCTCCAGATACCCTGATCTATCCCCTAAACTTCTCTTCATCCTTTCCTCTATCACTCCTCTTTGCTCTTGCTTCAACTCTCTGTAACTCCTTGCATGCTAGTGGCTTCCTGCCTTGCTTGGGGTGTAATGTGCTTAAAAAAAAATTACTGCTTACTGCATAGAAGTTGCAGCTTATCTTTGTTTTCTGCTGGCAGTTCCTGCTTCATTTTCAGTGTGTAGTTTGCACATAAATTACTTCTTGGTATCTTAGGTGTGGTTCTCTATTCAATGATTTTTCATCAGGTTTCAATTTTTCTGACAAGATCTTAGTCATTGTACATTCGATTATTAAACCAATACTCTGTGCAGTTGTATAAAATGAATTTGTATATGTTCTTCAAGGTCTTCCTTATTATTGGTATAAGAATGAGGCAAAGATAGCAAGAATGGCTTTTGAATTTTTTTGTGATGTCAATGAACACTCGTTTGACACTTTTGTGATGCCAACAAATACTCATTGTCACTTTCGTAATGCTCGTTGTAGTAGAGACTTTTTAATCGCAGATACAATAATAGTACGCCATTGAACAATACTGGAGTCAGTTGACTTCGAATAATCTCACACTAGTAGTACTTGCTCAATAATACTCGCTCAAAAGGTAACCACCATACTGATCAGAATAGAGAATAGTGTAGAGAAGAGAATAGCAGTTCGTATAACGACAGAGGAGAAATAGTGATCGTTAATCATTACAATACTTTCTACTTATGCATTTCCTCTATGGTCACGTGGTCTACTTAATTCAATAATAGGATCACTTGTGTTTGCTCACTGGTGATCTATGTTCAAACTCAAATGTCAGCAGTAACACTTTATTCCTATATAACAGAATTCCATCTCACAATGCCAATGTTTGGAATATTCCAATATTCAATGAAAGGAAAATGCCCTTTTTCTCCAGAGAATCTAACTGCCTGGTGCAATTGGTAAAAAGTCTCCCATCTTCTTTCCATACTGATTTATTGAGGATTTCTTCTGTTCCATTAACAAACCATGGCTTCAATTCTTTACCATTGTTAACCAGTTGAGACTCAAAAGGTTCTTCAATAGGTTGAGTCTATCACAGTCAACAAGGGTGATAGCTACCTGATACTCATCACAAACATTAAGGAGATATATGGAATCTTCAGTTGAAAACTAAAAGTTAGTTACCAGCTGACAATTTTTACAAATTAATATAGATTTCTTTATATATATATATATATATATATATATACTATAGATTAATATAGATTTCTTTAATTGATTTAATGGATTTGATATAATGTCACCTGAAATGATAAATAATGCAGCTTTTTATTATAATCCTGTGAGAGAATATGAGACAAAAACACATTAAGGAATGGGAAATGTTCTTTTATGACAGTTGACAGAAAGTGCTATGATATAATGGAATATGCGTACACCTGTGTTCCCCCTCACTGGAATATGATTGGCTGATGTCCATCATAAATACCGATGGATGTGTAGGTACGACTGCGACTATGAGAGCTTTTTCTTTAATGACACCTTTTTGGACTACAGTCTGATTACTGCTACCATATTCTACTTGTTTATAGTAGCCAAAACCACTTAGCTACTTCGTTCAAATATATCCCTTTCCAAGACATCTCATGCTACTACATATGAGCAGTAATTTTGATTTTATGCTGATTCCATTCGTGCATTTTGTGATGACCATTATTGGAAACTGGGATTAATTAGGTCAATTTTTGTTGTTTCTAAGCAAAAGTTCATTGATTTCTAATCCTGAAATTATTTTCAAGAAAATAAAAGCTAAAGAGTTGTAACCTTAGTTAACATAGTAAGCATGCAGATTTTTTCCACCTTCTTATAGGGAGCCACACTGGAGAACAAGAAGTTTGAAACAATCTGTGCACATAATATGCTCAAATAACTTAATCAGCAGACTAAATTTCAGCATTTAACAGAAAAGAACAAATGAAGAACACCAGAATCGAAAATGTGGAAGAACCTGGAGAGTTCAGTAGAAGGTCACATATTCATTACAGTGGCCAGAAGAAGACTATCCCCAAAATGCACAGATATGAACACGATATGTTTATGTGAGGGTATGGATGCTTTCTCAGATCAAGAGATTTCTGACTATGACAGACACCTGAAGATGGCCAGATGTTACAGAACAAAAATATCATGAAAAATAAAAATGAAGAAATTAATTTGTATTAGTCATATTAAATAATTCAAATATATTACCAAACAAAAATTATAAAATATTGAATTTATATCATACAATTTTGAATTTATGAATAAAACAAAATGCAGGATCAAGTAATGATTATTAATGACAATGTTCATGTTGACTCCAACATATCACTCCTTCAAAGTTTGAATTTTTTGAGGCTGACCTCACCATTTTAGAAGATGAATGATGTTCATTCCATTAACAACGCTCTACAATTAAATTCTGTTCTTCCTTGCTCGTAAATCTCGCACAGAATTAACTACATCAAAAGCAGTGTGTGGAGAGAAAGAATAAAAAGTAGATCTTTTGACATCATTGGCATAGTACAGCATTGTGGTATCTTTTCAGTTCATTTTTTTATGGATTCACATTATCTGCCATGTGAAGCTATACAAGAACTGACTATTCTCCACAGCAGTCTATCACATGATCCTCAAGAGTCTCTTAAGATATAAGTACAGTCTGCCTTTCAAAAGGGAGATAATTGTTTTCTGTACACCTACACAAACCACTACTGATTAAGGATTGGGAGGAGTACAAGTAAAGAATTTTTAAATGTAAATTTTGGCAGGAATCAAAATCTTTGAAAATCAGTTAGAGCAATGGATTTTATAAAAGTTTTTTTTATTAAAAATATCTTAATCTTAAGCCAAGTTACAAAGTAGTCTCCCCTTATTTCTTTGTCAATAATCCTCATATAAATTCTATAAGTAGAATGTGATTTGAGATCAAACTTG